AAATTGTATATTTAATATATAATATTTATACATAAATAGATAAAACTGTATCATTATTTTAACGCAAAAGAACAAGTGTCAGATTTGCCCCAGTGACTGGTGAGCCTCCCCTGGCTCTCGGGATGGTCTCAGCAGAGTGAGTACGCTGGCTCTCTTTTCCCTCTAATTAACAAAATGAAGCTGCCACATGCAGACATGGAGTATCGTGATGTCTCAAACAATATCAGCAAAAAGGGACCTCAAGCAAGTCCTGCTGATGTACAGATAAGACACCAGAAGTGAGGATTTTACTGTTCCTGGAAATGCAGACTCTGTGTATTGAATATTTGGCTGATCATTCAAGACGAAACTTAATAAAGAGGAATCTTACTTAATAAAAAGAGTTACCTGAGGAGTTCAGGGCAGAAAACAACACCCCAAACAAAGGAGCTGGCAATGCCCAGTGCGGTTTCTGTGCGATCGATCCCAGTTAAACAAGCAAACACACCATTTGTTTAAGGAATTGACTCAGGCAATGAAAGGCACTGAATGCATTTCAGCTGTCGGGCGCACCAGGAGAAATTTCCCTCCCGTGGAAAGCCGTGGGTATCAAATGGGTTAGAAGCAGAAAGATCTTGTTTTGTGATTTTCTGCTGGAGAGACACATTGCTTTCTGCTGCTGAAAGACCTATTTACCTATTTATTAAATTTCATTCAATAATGTTTCTTCAGGGCAAGCCTTTTCTCTGTCTTCTATATTGAACAATAGTAGCAAGAAGGAAGGTAAACCTACTAAAATAAAAGTATGCATACACAGAGAAAGGGAGAACAGGAGCTAGTCTGAGAGATTCAGTATTGCTAAGCACTATGTGACGCAGACAGTGCTCTGTAACAGAGAGAAATTCGGGAATAATCTTTCTAACCTCTTGTGTAATTATTTTTCACAACAGTTTAAACAAATAAATAAGGAAACATGAAAGAAAACTACAAGGAATGGTTATTTCTACCCTGGCAGCTTTGGAAGGGGCATGCCGGAGGAGATGCCAGCTAAAAGAGAGCAGAACGAAGCAGCACTATAGAGTTAGCAGTGACCGAAACAGGTACGATCATTAACTGAACTTAACAGAGACAAGACCACACAAGAATTTGGCAGGTTTAATGAGCTCAAAAGATGTATTAGTACTGATGAAATGCCTTGCTTAATTTTTGCTTTGCAGTTCACTAGATGAAAATTACTATAGAATTAGAAAATATCAAGACAAGTTAAATGTAGTTACATCTGTTTGCCGTGTGAGAGTTCTGTCTTGCCTTAGAACATGTGGGAAGCACAAGACCATCAAGACTAATTACAATCTTCCAAAAGATTAAAAGCCATAGCAACATTAATAATAGATGCTGAAAGATTCATTATACTCAAAATCATTTTAAGGAATAGAACCTTAACATTTGTAACAGTTCATCATAATTTCAAAGTAAAACTCAAAGTACTCTGTTACACCTCAATATCCTACATGTGCTTTGCAATGCAATCGAGACGTAAGATGTGAAAGGAACAGTGAGCGTTTACTAAGAGCAATGATTAAACATTAACTGGTCTTTAATAGCCACAGATAACACACAAGATACCTGGTACAATTAAAACCAGGTATCATTTAATGAGAATCATGTTAAGCGCTATCATACACGTTCTTTAGTGTATTTAATTATCATTTCCTGCGCTGATAGAGTTGAAGGAGCTTCACCATCAACTCATTCCACAGCAGGAGCTGCCCCGCTTGGAGCAAGGCTGCGGGTGGGAATGGGGAGGATGGGGCACACGTACCTGGGAGGATGAGGATGTCCACGAGGGGTTTGCAGTGATAGAGACCTGTCGCCATGACACAGTCTGCCCACAGCCCCTTGGATCCCAGCTCATCCATCTTCCGGCAGGTGGTAATGGTGTAGCCACAAGTCACCACCCAGTCATTGGTGGACGTTGCCACAATCACCCCAATCCACCCAATAAAACCGCAGATAAATCCACCCAGGTGCAGGCAGGTGGCCACCATGGCTGTCCCTTGGTGGGACGAGCTGGCCCAGAGAGCGCCTGTGGGGGTTCAGCAAAGCCAGTGGTAGAGCTCCCCTCTGCAGATCCCGGTGGCTGGGACCCGCTGCCAGCTGCGAGGAGGAGGGACAGGGTTGGGGAGGAAGAGAGGTCCCCGAGTGCTGCCGCAGGCACTCGGCTGCCTCTGCCCAGCTGCCTCCCGGGGAGGGGTTAGAGCTGCCGCCAGCCCCATAGCACAGGGGAGGAGCGAGGGGGGAGCCCCAACTTCTGCCAGTCCAGCCAGAGAGTCGGAGGGGAAGCAGGGTGTGGAGAGGAGGAGACATGGGATTACACCCACCCGTGCTTGAAAAACAAACCGGGCTGCTGTATTCAAATGCAAACAGCCTGACTGTTCAAAAAGAAAAATTAAGACAGTGTTTTCGAGCTGAAGATAAATTATCACACTGGTACATCTTCATGGAAAGATGGGGCAAGAAATGTGGTGAACAGTTACTCAAGAGGCGGAATTGGTCATCTCATCAAAGCCGTCAGTACTGCTGCAGGAAATGGACATAATCAGTTTGGAGTCCTTCCTGATGTTTTCAGTAGCTGCAAAAACACCAGAGACCCATCACTGCATTCTCTGCCTGTGCCAGGGTTTTCAGAAGTATCAACTAACACTCACGGGGTCTTAAATGTGTTTTTAACAGCACGTTATATCCACTTTTGAATGCTAAAATTTGAAAGGAGCAGCTTTTACTTAGACTCATTTTGGACGTAAATTTTTGCCCACCCGGCAGAGCCAGGAACAGCCCGCTTCAGAAAGTCTAAAGAAGAGAAACTTCACATTCTGTAACAAGAGAAACAGGCAGACAGGATATTTTCCTAACTTTACTTTGTATTTTCACAAACACAGATGTGTGTTCTCAGGTGCCAACACATCCGTAACGAAATGTCGTCGTTGTGCGTCCTCTAACTTTACTTTGTATTTTCACAAACACAGACGTGTGTTATCAGGTGCCAACACATCCCTAACGAAATGTCGTCGTTGTGCGTCCTCCGGTGCCGCTGGTTTGCGAAGGGGAGGGTTGGATGCGGGCAGATAGGACATTCCTGGAGAGACCACTAGCGGAGAGCTCGCCCCATTGCAGCGGGGACGGGAAACGGGCAGGAAAACCACAGAACAAGGGGCTTGATTCATTCCTAGAGCTGTCAGGGAAAAAGAAACACTAGCGGAGAGCTCGCCCCATTGCAGCGAGGACGGGAAACGGGCTAGTGGAAGCTGCACTCCAGAATTAAGGTGGTGGGAATGAAATATATCCTGCTTATTTATCCACCGGTATTTTTTCACATTCTTTAGCAAATAAAGTAGAAAGCATGAACAAGAGCATCCCAAGCTTAATGTGCCACGTGTTCCTTAGATTCAAAATTCAGCGTCACGAGGCCACAGCTTGGTTTTGTCAAAGCTTCACTTGAACACTGGAGCTACTGCACAAATGATTGAGAATTACCTTTGAAGAGGAGCTTTTATACTAAATAGAAATCTAATAGTTACGTTCACATTTGTTTTATATTGCTGATAACCCCTTGGTTTTTTGCTTTTGTGAAGCTGTGCTGCCAGCTGACCTTCCATTGACTTTCCAAACGTGATTCCACCTTTCTACAGAGGTTATTCTTCTACTGCACCCACTTCAGCTGGAGCAAGCTGTTACCTACATCCAACCGCCATCTTCATGTTGTCTAGGGTCCTGTTCCAGATGGATTTAATCTTTCTCCAAACAATATTCCCGCTGATTTATTATTCAGGAGATAAACTCATCATCTCTCAAGCGAAACTAGTGTTGTTCCACTTCTTGGACCACGCAACTGCGTTGGACAGATCACGTGTCATCTCCTGAATTTGGAAGGAGACAAGCTGACAAATGGACATGTTCCTGCCTCTCCCCTTCACTGACTCAGTCTGTGTTTTTTTGAGTCTAGCATTTCCTCCATCTAACTTTATTGCATTCTGTAAGTTAAATACCTGATCTGTTTCTATCAAGTGTAAATGCACAGAGCTTAATACTGATTGTTGATTAACACCAGGCATAAGGATACTGAACCACTTTGGGGTGACTGGTCCCAACCTCTGTCATCTAACGATACTGCCGCCACACTGTCCTCTGGAGGTTAAACATCACATTTTATCTAAATCACACGAATATTTAGATTTCTAATATACTTCAAAGTATTTCATTTTTCTTCAAAATACCAGAAAAGTTGGCAACATCTTGATATCCCATTTCATCCCAAAGCTGAGATGAAAAGCATTTTACACAGTGATAGTGCAGGTGCATCCTAATGCACGAACCCCAGCTTTTTTAAATGCTGCAGGGTATGAATCCATAGGCTGTGGACAGAGCCTCCTGTAATTCTTGTAGTTATGGTTTCCTCAACCACAAAAGCTTCTTACATTGCCACATTCTCCTTCACAAATGTATTTATCAAAGAGTGTGCAGCAGCTCAAGAGGCAAGAAGTAAATTTAACACTTCAGTAAATAGCAGTTGAACAGGACTCGACCTGGTGCCCATAGGGCACAGCTTGAATTATTTCATTCATGTCGATAGGGACAAGGAACATTTACTGTTTTGTTACTGTTATAAATAACACTCCACTATTTCAGTGAATATGAGTTAGTACGCTACAAGTGAACAATGATTCACAAGACTAATAAAATTAGAAACAAGGAATGACTTCCCAACCATATACTAAATAAACTGACACAGGGCAATATTCTTAGAATTTGCCATTCTTAAAGCAAGTGCTACACAGGCATTTATTTCAAGCAACAGTGTGACACCTTAAAGAAACAATCAATCTTTTTACCCTGGCACTCAAGCACTTTTTCCTTGATCAGCACTGTTGCTCTGACAAGTGACATGCATTGCAATCAGTCATACTTACCCAAGCTATCAACATCCTATGACTTTTTCTCACCTTGAACTTTTTCTTTGCAGGGTTTTTCAGCCTGAGAGCTTCCCCGTTGACTTGGAAATGCAGCAGTATAAAAATATAAGATGGGATGCAGAAATAAATAGGGTTAAATGGTAGAGTTCATTGTTAATTTTTTTCCATACTGAAGTCTGAGCTTATCAAAATATTACCAATTTCATCTTCATCCTAGTTCATACTGCTAAGGTCTCTCCAGCTGTAAAATACAGGCAAGTACACGGCAGCATTAAGGGTTTGCAATAATCTGAAACACAATCAGGATTTCCTACATGCAAGAGCAGTACCTTAAAACAAGGACAAAGCAATTTTTGCCCTAGTTTAAGGGGGAAGGAAAAAGATCTATGTCGTGTGTATGTGACTGTGCTTGCTTATCTGTCAAAAAACCTGACCTTCAGAATGAATAAAGTTACCTAGAAAATCTCCAAAATATTATTAAAAGTGGGGTTTTTTTTTTACTACAATCAATTTTTTTTAAGTGACCAATAGAATATAGCCTATTGTTATAAGCAGGAGAAGCTCAGCCTAAACAGAAGACCCATTCATACTTAGCTTACAGGAACAGCTCCCTCTTTCCTTCTTGCCTCCTTCCTCTCTTTTCTATTCTTAATTTTCTGATATTTAAGCTCCCTGATGAGAGACAGCAATGCTAAGCAATGTCACCACACAATTTATAAAATGTAAGAAAACCTGAGGGTCACTGTAGGGCACATTTTTCATCAGCAAATAAAGCATAATTCTCATTTCTGATTTTAACTTTATATAATTTCAGCATTTTATACAGTGATGTGAGATTTTTATCTCATTCATCACTCAGCTATTAAGGAGGGGTGTGAACAACTGAAACACTTCTAGAGCACCCAACCAGCAACAAAGGGTGTGCACCAGAGAACATGCCAAGTACACAAGTGGTTGTATTTATTTATACATATAAATGCCAAGTTTATGTCAAGATACACAGAAATCCTAGCATCAATAATATCTTTATGGAGCCATAAGAGCTTTAGAAAATGGACTCATGGTGAGGGATGGCTATCGATCTTGTAGATTGTGCCAAAAAAGCCTTTTAGAAAACTGGGCACCTGCTGCAGGCAGTGGGAGTTCTGCTAACGACTTTCAGTGTAATCAGGTTTTAATTTACTGTAATCAAAGCAAGGAAGACTGTCCTCCTTAGAAAAGCACCACTGTTAAACACCTTCCAGAAAGTCAAGTTTAGGAATTCAAAAATATTACAAAGACAAGTGTTCTGACATTACAGTTCTTTATTTGCTTCTGAATCCACAATCTATACAGGTATTTACAAGGCATGAAAATGGATAACAGCACAAAATACAATTGAGGTATAAGCTAAGAGCACAGTATGTCATGTTTCAATAAATATAATTCAAAATTTGTAAACTAAGTGACCAGATAGATGCATCTTGTTTACTAAAACCATATAAAATATCTGTTAAATCTCACGTGAGGTAGAGGACAGTTTTGTGTGTCATGTAATGCAACCACAGCAACTCTAACAATAAGACTGTACATCATTGGCAAAGTATTAAAAATTGTTGAATGCTCTGATTTCACAGGCTTTTACTCTGGTTTCAGAATAGCCATTCAACCTGTTGCCTTGAGCTAACACAGACTGTTGCTTTGCAGCTACTTTCTGTAATTTATAAAGATAATTATACTGGCATGTCAATATCAATAAATACTTCTGAGAGCGAGTATGGAAACACAAAAACAGATTTTTGTCAATCACAGAAAGCAACATGGTGGCAATAAAATATTTTAGACCAACTTTTTATTACTTCCTAGAATTAGTTGAAATACAGTACAGCTGTGCTTTCCTTTAAGTGAGGTATCTATATTTGAAGAAAAAAAATTCAATTGCTATTGTTACATTTAATCAATTTTCAAATAGCAAAATTTTATAACATTTGTTTGCTGTGCTTGATGAAGTGCTTAAAACTCATTTTTTCAAGCATTTTGCAACTGAACCACTAACCCTGAAAAAACCCAGTTTTCTAATGGAAACACACTACAAAATTGTCGTGCAATTTGCAAGCAATAACTGCTTTCACAAAAGCCAAAAAATTGATGCATTTTTGAGTAGAAATACACAAAAACCAGAAAATTCCACAAGCTTTCTGTAATGAAAACTCAAAAATACTTGCACTGCAAATGTAATGAGCAAAACGAAAACTGAAATTTGCAGCTTTCTGCTGCTTGAGTAGTGACAGCTTAAATAAAACTACTGAAATATTGCAAGCACAGATTAACAGGTAGGTGTAATTATGTCTTTTGTCGACTTCCATCATGTTATAGAAAACTCTGTTGTGTGGATTAATTACACGAATTAAGTGCAGAAAAAATACAAAGTTGTTATCTTTACTGACAATCAAAATATATACTCTACAAACAAGTGAATTCTAGGAAGCTGACCGTGACAGCATTTCAAGGCCAACTTCATGACTAATGCTAGGAAAGTTTTCCAAAAATTTCATAACACATTCTAGCTATCCCCTCCCCCAATATAAAACAAGAATGTATGAATAAAACATCGTGACTTCTAAAATATGGGCCAAGCCTTATTTTTTCAGTAGCTTTATGCTCCCACTCAACTTTTCCTACTTCACTAATTGCATTATGCCTTTACTATGTACACATGATTTTACACCTAAGCTATTAATATATTAAATATAGAATTAAATTAGTTTAAGAATGTGAAACATAACTACATTTATCTAAATACTCAAGCTAAACAATATGCTTTACAAAAACTAAAAACAGACTTTGCTAAATTTGGAGATTTAGATAAAAATCTCTTTCGTCTAGGGATAGATACATGGCTACACTGCAAACGAGGGTGCTTTCAGACTGACAAAATTACAAGAGGTTTACTCTCCAAGCTCTTATATTTCTTCTCCTTTAGAGCACACAAAGTACATGGAAGTTCTCTTTTAAAAAAGCATATGAGCAAACCAGATATTCACCTTGAATTCTACTTACTTTGTTCCAAAAGGTGCACTAGGCAATTTCGAACTTGGTCTAGGTATTTAATAATGCAACTTTCAAAAATATGGACAATTTTAGGGGTTTTTTTTTAATGGCTTATTGTCACAACTATCTGGGAAACGGACGTCCTGCCTGAAAGATCAGCAAGCAATAAGTGAAGGCAAAACAAATAATAACACATAAAATACGCTGTGACTAAAAGTGAGGACCTAATAACAGAATTAGTTTCTACCATTAAGTGTGCACTTAAGCGAGGGCCCTTAAGTGTGCATTCCAAATTCCTACATTAGGCTGTAAAATAAACAATTCAATATAACTAGTATAAGGTAGTGAAAAAAGGTCAACATATATTTGTTCTAGAACTTATACAGTATTATTTACAATTACTAAAAAACTATCTTTCAAAGACTGTGGACACACAAAATCTATGGCACATTTATGTATACATTATTACTTAAAATTAGTATAAAATTAAGTCTACACATATGACATTTTTTTTTTTTATGTTATGTAAAGAGCCTGAAAGTAATATTTAAGAATTTTAAGAGGATTACAAAATTTTAAAATGCATTCTGTTAGAGGCCAGGCTGGATGAGGCTTTGAGCAACCTGGTCTAGTGGAAGGTGTCCCTGCCCACGGCAAGGGGGGTGGAAGTAGATGATCTCTAAGGTCCCTTCCAATCCAAACCATCTGTGATTCTATGATTAACTAAATGGAATATTTACAGAGATACTTTTAAAGTCAATTTAATAAATGTTCCATTAGCTTTTTCAGCCAGATGTTTGAAAATGATAGGAGGCCTCATATGCAGCTGGAATTGCTAAAACTTCATATAACTGCTCGAGTTCTTGCAACAATGAAAATATTAGTACAAACTATGGCCACCAGCATTGTTAGTAGCCTGCAGCACGAGGCAGTTAACAGCTGGCTGGGAGATGGCCGAAGTGCTGGCTGAGGCGCAGGAACCCGGGCTATATGAGCACTCCACTGCAATTGCCACTGCTGAAGATCAGCTGGTGGCAAAAGGGGAAATTTTAGCTGAAGTCACATAACATAGACAAGACCTGAATGAAAACGGAATATACAGTATTCTAATATAATAATCCCAGGAGGATTCCATACATTCAACAGCTAAGCCATAAATACTGTGGTATATTAGTTACTGCAGCTGTACTAAACAAGTCTATATGGCCTTATCTACACTGACAATCGAACAAGTCTGGTTCAAAACATTGATACTAAAAAGCAACTGGAAACGGAATCTTTCGATTCTTTAATAATACCCAGATGAGACTTTTCAATTTCCCAGGACATTGTTTTCTTACTTGCCCATCTAGCTAATCCAATGTAGGTTCTGTCAATCCAGATGGACTATTTCAAGCTCCATTCCCTAATAATCACACTTTCATCAACATTCCTGCCTACTCTCCCTACAGCCATGTTTTTGGTGGTTGTTATAATAAATTCATTGGGTTTTTAAAGCAAGTGATACATACACAACCAGAATAATTTATATGCAGCACCTTTCCTTCCAAACCACCACTATGGTGCAAAGACAGGCTTTTTTTTTCTTTTTTCTTTGAAGCAACAATTTGGAGATGGAGTTGAAAAAGGGGAAAATGTAATCTGGGTCCTCTTTTCCTGACAAAAAAAACCTGTTTCATATTTTTTCATTTCAACCGCTTAACCAACAGAGTAAATATGACACAGAGTCCATAAACAAAATTATACACAGCTATAAAAGAATCATCCTGTGACTCCATGACATTTAATTTACCACCTCATTTCTCATTCAATTTAAAGGTATGTGCAATTTTACCTTTCTCTGTGATATTCAATCCTGGTATCTCACTAAACAAAATAACTCAGAATTTTCCAGTTTCACTATTTTAGGGAAAAAAAAAAAAACAAACAATGTAGGCTTTTACTAGTGGTTTTATCAAAAATTAACCGTATTATTAAGAGAAAAATAAACCTAAGCACCTCAAAAACAGAAGGTAAAGCACAGGTTAGAATTATGTAGCAAAATACTAGAAATGCGAAAATATTCCTGGTCACTGATGTAATCAGCTACATTTGTCAGCTGTATTAAACTTTTTGGAGAGAAGTGCAAACAAGTATTTCTTCATCCAACTTTGTAGTCATGCATTTTATCCACTAGGAACCAGACTTCTGAAGTACTCAAGTAGACGTTATATATACATAAAACTAATTCTGTACAACTACACATTTTCAAATGTTATAGCTTAACAAACATGCTGTATTTCTTAATTCATGGTAACATTACCATGCCATTCAAATACAGAGACTATCAAAATGATGTTCAAAGTGCCATATCTCAGGATTTTATTTTTTAAGCTATTATCGCAATGTCAGTTAAGGCCTGTTCTATGTAATGAAAGAAAAATCTACAAATTGTCAAGAAGCTCAAAGTGTGGAGGCTTAGGGTACTAAAGAAACTAATATATATTTTTTAACAGATATTATTTTTCTTGAAAGCATTAGTATCTGAAAACCAGTTAAGTCAACCTTTCTCAGTTTCTAGAAGGAAAAGCCCCACCTTTAAGCCTCTTATTAACATTTCTTTCATACCTACTATATAGAAGAAAACAAATGAAAATATGTAAATTTTTAATTTCCAAAGATTCCATTGTAATTGTCAATTTTTTAATTTACAAAGCAACTGTAATGTTTTCTTCTTCTAGCACAGCAAGCAAATGCTGGCTCTAAAACTCTTTAGATTGATAACAAGTTGTTAAATAGAAAATACTGAAAAGATCAGCTTGACTTCACACAATGCAATTATGTGAAATGCTCACACTGGTAAATCACTTTTGATGATCAATCATCTATCACTGTGGTGATTTTGAGTATTACTTTAGAGATGAAAAGCTGCCTTTACTTTCCCCAGTTTGAGAACACATAATTCTCACTGAAATCCAAACTGGTTTTGACATTGAAGAATTCAGAATGTTTTTAATGCACTTTTATAATTGGATGCATAATTGATAGCAAAATAAAGATCACCACATATATTTTAACAGACAATGTTAAAAGGTATGGAGTCCTCAAGACTGCATTAGAAATAGACAGAAACTGGTCACTCTACATCAAGAGTTTCCTATTTTTCGTTGTTTGAGAAAAACACCAGTACAAATAAATCCAGATTTTCATTGGTTAGGAAAATCTAAAAATGTATACCTATCTATCTCTATTTATTTATATATATGTATATCTTCATCTGGACCTGTCTGAGAAATAGAAATCTGTAGAGACTACTTTTCCTCATCACACAGAAATTGCTCACAAGTCATTAAAAAACAAAACAAAGCACCCTGTTTGAAGGACGCAGTTATGCTTCCTCTTCCAATTTCTATTTTCCTTTGCCATTTTTTGAAGATTTCAAGATCTGTAGCTTCAATTCCTTTATCATCATCTCTAACTTTTCCCTTGCCTCTCGCTCTTGTCTCAGTTCATCTTGAAGCTCTTGTCTATCTGCCTCTGCATGATCCAATCTCTGTCTCAATTCTGCTAGCTGTAAAATAGAGAGGAGAGACAGAGAGGCAGAGCAAATTTAGCAAACTTATTTGTAAACATCAGCTATTCACTTCAAGATACCGCAGATTACAACCTTATGCATTACAGAAAAGTATTTCAGTTCACCAGTATTATCAGCTCATCTTGTACTGTTATCAAGAACTATGCAGTTACCTACTACAAATGTCAGAAAGAAGAACATGTAAGCAAGTTGCAAATCCCAAATTATGAATTTTGTTTAATGTACAAAGAGGGTTCCTCCCAGTCCATACTTCTCAGAGAGAAAGGGCAGCCTGGGCAACCTGTTTCAAGAAGACATCAGACTAAGGCTTTTTTTAAATGCTGTATAGACAACTTGGGGAAGTTACCTGTTGCCAGGACCTGTGTTTAACTCGGGTACTTCTGACAACTGCTTGGAACCTAGGGTCCAAAATCTATTATAAGATGTAACAAATGGAGGAGAAGGTTCAAATTATATATTGAGGATAGCTCTGCTACACACATTAACAACAGAGTAAACTTTCATGCAAGGAACATATTTATTTTTCCAAGTCTAACTTCAAAAGAAACAAACAACCAATCTCCTTGGGGAATAATCTATGTTTTCACCCTCTAACGAAAGTTAGCTACACAAGGCACATAAAACGTGCTCTGGACTATTATCTTCATAAATTAAAACATGTTGTTACTTGCAGTAATAGGGCTTGTACCAGATGTTTAGTAAATCAGGCCTTAGTCAGAGAGGATTATTTCTGGCAGCAAAGGCTAGGAATCTGTGGAGTGGGATGTCATGACATTACATTAATGAGAAGGATTTATGATGCTAGTCTCTGCCCTGCTCCCCAAAAATACCAAAACCTGTCTCTCAAGTACTGCCTGTTTCTTAGTCTGAGACAGTACAAACAGGAAATATACACAGCTATGATCAAATGACCACAAAGCTTCAGTGAGCTTAAGTTTTAGCTTTTGTTTACTTCAAAAAAAAAAAAAAGACTAATTTTCTGTGACATGGCACAAAATATATCACTATACATTTAATAATAACTGCAACTAATTTTGAAAATAAGGATTCCAAGGCTCCCTTTGGCATTAACTATATTTTGCCCATTGCAATGACACAAATAAACTCCAACATAAAGAAGCAACAGTAAAAGTTAAAACGAAATTGAAAGAAAAATCTCCATAGGTTTTGATGTATGAAACCAAGAGGCAGGAAGGAGGGTGAAAAATATGATTTTCATTTCCAAGAGAACTCTTGACCAAATGCTTTGATAGAGCACATAAAGGGCCTCATTGGATAGTGCAGCAAAATATGCTACTAATGTGACAAAAAGGTGGTTGAGAGGTTTTAGAATTGAGAATGTTGAATTCTATAACATGGGCGAGCCTATATATATATTAAAACCACATTGTAACAGACCTTATGTTTAAGACTAATATTTCATCAATAACATCCTATGTTTCTGTAAGTTGCATTCTATCTCAGTTTCAATCAAGAGACAGGGAAATAAATATTGCTGTCACTGTGACCTATTTTGGTATTTGTGGTATCAGAACACACGAAGAAGATAAAACCTTAAGGTGGCTGAGCAACAGCTTCACAATTCCCTGATACGCTAAATACGGTTTGGTTTGAAACCAACTTTCCCTTCTCACCTGTGCTGCATATTCAGCTTCTTTGTCTTTTTCTAAAGTGGAGTCACAGCTACACTTTTGCTTCATCACTTGGTCCAGTTTCTTCTCCAAGTCTCTCTGCTCAAAATAAAATTCTTCCATTCTTTGAGCATGCTCTGTCTGCAGACATTCAAGTTCTTTTTGTAAATTCTGCTGCTCTTCAGTTAGTTCCTTCATAGCTTTAGAGTTGCTCAACATTTCCACTTCCTGTCAAGAAAAATCAGGATCACATACACCTTGGTTCTAAGACCAGAAAAGTAAAAAACTGAATTTAAATGTGTATCTGGAAACAACGAGGCCAAAAAGAGCACATTTATCTGATAACAATAGCCTGATAACGGTATTCATCTACTTATCAATGACAGCCTAGGATTCTGTATCGAGCATTTCATTTTTAAGAAATTATTTATACTTCCAAGTACACGGAGCTTCCAGAAACAGATTCACAATTTCCAGCAGTGAACCTCAGAAAGCAGCACCGATTTACCAAAATAAACTTTGAAGATGTAAAAAGTGCAAGCAGAATACATGCATTTGATTTCTTTTTCCACTAGCATTTTGATATTTTTTAAAGTCTTAATTTTTTTAACTTATCTACAAGCTTTACCTCCAACAGCAGCTTAAAAGTAGCAGCTCTAGGGCCCCATCTGAGCTCACAGATTCTGAGCTTAACACTAAATAAACTAAACTAAAATGTTAGGTCTGGTCTATGAATGTAAGAAGCAAAGATAGTATTTCCCTTAATTCAGAAAACAGAAATGAGGCAAAATCACAAGTGAACACCAGCTTCTAATGTCATCCATGATTAAAAAAAACTAATAAAATCCCTCTAAAAACAAGGGCTTATCAAATAGAAATAGGAAGGTGGTATTCTTTTTTATGCAGGGCAGTGATAAAATCACTCTTAGAATACAGATATCTGCATCTTTAAAATCCTGGCAACTGGGAAATTTTAGAGAACTTAAACTCTATCTGCCAAAACACTTAAATGTCCAGAAAACATTTGAAAGCAAAGACGTACTTTTCATTTGGATAAAATAAAAGAAGGAGCTTCTTGAACACAGTAGTTGCAAACTGAAAAGACAACAATTATTAGTGGACTCGAACATAATGAGCATACGGGATATTCATGATTTGGTGTCTGGATTCAAGCTGGGGGGAAATTACCTGTGTGTGTTTTGATGTTTCTAAATGAATGTAATCTGTGATATTGATTCTAGAACCAACAAGCTACCAACAGTTTTCTGATGAAAAAGTGAAATGCACTCAGATTGGCACTGTACCATTTGAAGCTGCTGTTTCCTCCGCAAAATAGCATTTAGTTTTTCTTGTTGTTTGATGTAGGTTTTCATTACTTCTTCCATGATCCTTCCCTTGTCATCTTCACAACTGATGTCCTTCATGAGAGTGGGGGACATTTGCACATCACTACCTACTTCAACACGGCTGGAGTCTCTAGTGATTTTGGAAGGAACACGTTCAGATTTTCCACTTCTTGTAGAACGAGTTGACACAGGTAGATCTATAGAGACAAGAAGAGCACAGCATAATAATAACAGAAAACTAAACTTCCAGAGTGAAAAAAAATGCAAAGAAAATTGAAGATTATAAAAAGGTCAAAAAAAGAATTTTTGGAAAACTGAAGCGCCATCACAAAATACCAGCTTGGTGTCAAGCTTTCCAAAATTATACAGTATAAAAACCAAGACAACTTCAGTGTAATTTTCACTACTCACCTAAACGCTTATGCTGCTCCACACCAGTTTTCAAGTCAATTTTTTCCTGTTCTTCAAGAGAAAGCTCCGGATAGGAAGCAGCTTTTTTGTGCTTTCCACTACTGAGTTTCTTCTCTGACTGTCCAGGTGAGGATTTAATTACTTCTGAAGCTTTGACTGTTGTTTTCGCAATATCCTTATATTGTGATGCAAGAGATACATTTGGGGCAACCACTTTATCACACATATAAAGGTAGTAACTGGAACAGCAGAACAGTAAAATTAAAAATGAAAGGTAAGGCACAATAAATGATGACTGGTTGAGAGCAGTAAGTTTAATTTGATTTCAAACTGTAAAAGCGACAATGAAAAATAAGCATGTCCTTTTAAAATTCTTCCTATGCAAAAGAAAATCCTAACGATCCACTTAATCTTTACTGAGTAGATTATCTAGACAAGGTTTTGAGGCTATCAAACAAGAGGATTTTCCAAACATGGCTGATTATAAAAAAATCATACAGAAAATCATACGAAGTCTTAATTTAAATGCAAAGACTGAAATTAAAATGCCACTGAATCCAGACTCTCTAGCATTTTCATAGTCCTTATATTAGCAATGGAGAACGAGGGAAGCCATCAGTGTAGCAGGAATCAGCATATCACTTTTAAATAGCAAAGCTGTGTACTGACAGGGCTGCAGCATGTCTGAGACCAACGCTGGACCTTCTTTCCCACATATACTGACCAATTCATCTGCATTTTCACAGCTCTTGGAGTCCTGGAGCATCTTTCTGTACTGCTCTAACCTAACCGCTCAGCTTTTGTCTAGTACAGAGGGAAAAGAGTGCCAGATGAGGTAAGGTCAGTGCCAAGAAAACGCTGTCACAATGCTGGAGTCAACATGCTCTCTTCAAGACTTTCCTTTCTCCTAGTTCCAAAGGAAGGCGCTGATAGAAACAGCAAACCGAGGGACCATCATAGAAAGTCCACCATTCATGTGTTTGTGTGGGACCTAGTTTCATGCCTGTGTGTTGCTTTGATGCACGCTGCTAGCCAAAAGAGCCTGATCTCACCCATATACGGTAAGTGCATAACCACACGGGGATGAGGGTAAGATGTATGTCAAGAAAAAACATTTCCCTCGATGCAGATGATAAACTTTGTTAAACTTTTTTTATGTTAAGGAAATGAACGTGGTTTCTAAAACCAGGAAACTAATCAACAGACAATTCAGCTGAAACCATTGTTCCAGTGTGGAATAAAGCCTTCAAATGCCTTTTATATGTCTTTTTTGAAAGGAAATTAAGTTGCACTCATGGTAAACAGGCCCTATGCAGCTTTCCACATGCATGCATTATGTTATAATAGGAAAGATTAAAAATTACCTTCTGTCATTTCTACTCTGAAAAGGGAAATTGTAACTACATTTCAATTGTATTGCTACTGAAGAACACTCATAGATCACAGCTTGAGTCCCGTACCAAAAATCACTCATAAGCAGTTCATTAATATTTACACCAAGAAATGCATAAAAAGTTAGGGTTCAATTATTCTTGTGCAATCCCGTGGAGTTTTCCTAACTGTTCAGGTTGCAAGTACTTTTTTTTCATCTTTAACAGCCAAAAATATTTAACTTGTACATATGGTGCTCGTAGTTCTGCACAGGAAATTCAGTTACCTGGGATGGAAAAAGGAGGGTGGCTGAGGATCAGTTTCTGCTTCTTGCTTGATAACTGGATACCACTGCGATAATTCCAGGCTCTGCTGTGAATCTGCCTAAAGAAAAGAAAATAAATTCATAATCGGAAGATGGGTACACGTTATTCACATTTTCATAAACTCTCCTTAGTGGAATGGCATTTACACCATTAATACACACACACCAGACAAACTGGGGTACTGGAAAATGAGTAGACACGTGGCAATGCAAGCAACAGAACTTTCTTCTACCTCCAATTTCCCATTATAGGCAAAGTAGCGATGAAATTAAAAGAAAATCTCTTTACAAACTGATATTAAAGCTCTGCTGAGTTTCCAGAACCTTGCCAGAGGCATGCTGCAAATGCTTAAGAGAAAGAGAGAGCAGAAACTAGAATCCCCAAAAGGCTGCAGGAGCCTTTTGCAATAAAGTATCCACATCACAATAAGCACCTGCCAGATACATTATTACAAAATAAAACTTCTGAATAAACCAGAACATCTTCTGAATTAAACAGAACAGCTATTGGTGTTCCAGAGACAGAATTTCCTGTAGTTGTCACAGATTTTTATTACAGAAGCAGGCAAAGCTGTTGCAGTAACATGACAACTCCATTCCCTTCGCAGTAACAAACAAAATTAATTCAGGTGCATCAGCATATATAACCTTAAAAAACTCTGCATTTTGCATTTGGATAGCAATTCTTGTTCTGCTTGTCTCAAGAAACATTTTTGGAATTACTCTTTAGTCATAGTTACTGGTGACACTTTATGATCCACTGCAAAGTTACTATTAATTTAAAGCAAACGGTGTTTCATCCTATATTTAAACAAGACTCACAGCTAAGAAATTGATTCTTAACTTCATTGTATTAAGATAGCCTTGGGAAGCAGGTTTTTGGAGAAGGTGTGACTGGTTGACTCCAACCAGCAGCCAAGAAGCCACACAGCCCCTCCCTTTTTTGTTTGACCCAAACCACAAACAAAAAAGCCACAAAGCCACTCCCTCAGCACCACCCCCAGGGGATGGGGACAAAAGCAAGAAAGCTGGTGGGTCAAGATAAAGACAGTTTAATAGGTGAAGGGAAGAAAAAAGAAAAAAAAAAAAAACAACCCAAAAACAACCAAACCCCACCACAACCACAAAAACAAGTGAAGCAAAGGATATGGCTCACCACCTCCCACAGGCAGACTGATGCCCAGCCAGTCCCCAAACAATGTCCACCTTGGATGCCAAAACCCACTTTCTTCTTTTACCAGGTTTTTTTGTTTTCAATGACCATGCTATTATATGATACAGAATATTTCCTTGGCTAATTTGGGCCAGCTGTCCCAGCTGTGTCCCCTGCCAGCCTCTTGCCCAGCCTACTCACTGCAGGGGTCAAGCATGAAACAGAGAAACCCTTGGCACTGCAGAAGCGCTGTTCCGCAGCAGCCAAAACTTTGGTGTGTTACCAGGACTGTTTTAGCCCCAGATCCAAAGCACAGCACTGTACAGGCTGCTATGAAGAAAGTTTAACCCCATTCCAGCGAAACCCAGTACCTTTGGAAAGTTGCTCAATTTAAAAAAAACAACAACAACAACAAAAAACACAAACCCCCCCCCCCATAAAGCTAAAAAAATAATCCTACTGTACTGAAAGCTTCATCTAGCATTCCAACATCTTCACAATTTCTTGCACACAAGATGCACTATCAGAAAAGTTCATATTTACACACCCTGAAACGAACTGTCACAGAATTTCACATCCTGCAATCAAGGGAGTACCCAGCTACACATGTGTGGCTTGTACCAAGGTCTGCAGAATCAAATGACACTCAACCATGAGGGAGACCATATCCTATCTACAATATTCTGGTCAAAACTTCCAGCCCACTAAATTCAGCTCCCACAGTGAAACTGAAATTTAACTCCATCCTGCAGTTCCTCAAATCACTTCCAATGCATACGGAAAAGAGGAAGGGCACAAGGAAGCTACACTCCAGAACAGTAAATTCATAATCAAGCCTTTAAATAATAAAGATTTTAAATACAGCAAATAATCTCAAGAAAAATGGCCTCATCCTGACACTTGTCAAGTTTTTTCTACTTATTCAGATCATTCTAATAATTTAAATAATGTACATATATTCTTCTACCTATATGATAGCTAGTATACAGTAAGCAAATTTTAATTTCACGTTTTGTCCATTTTAACATGTTTATGTATTTCTATATGGAACTATAATCAGGTAATATGTATTTTCAGGTTATTAGGTCAGATTTTTACATTCCCACCTATTTCAAATGGAAACTGACTTTACTCTCTACCCATTACTGTGCATTTGGCAAATGAATTACGCAACATGCAGTCAAACTTTTACTTAGGAAAGAAAATGAAAGGTGATTGTAAATAAACACAAAGTCTTTTTCTAATACAATTCCTTCCTCATCATCCAGGTTAATAAAAGAGATAAAGCATCTACTTCATTACATACATGTATATTTCATAAACTAACAATCTGTTTAGTTTAGATGCTCTTAATAAATGTAATATATGAGTAAACTTGAAACTCACTGAACAACTTCTACCTAAACTCTTTCAAAGGGCTACATGAAAAACATGTCTTATTTTTCTCCTAAAGCTAGTTGCACAAAGCTCTTCTTTAAGAAAAAAAAATATTAGGCAGTTTCAGCCTAATCACTAAGCCAGTAGTTTTAGCAGAGATGGGAGTTATAAAAGTACTCAGATGAAATGCTAACTCTCCATATTGCGAGCTTTTCCCCATGCACAGTGACCAATTCAAGGAATTAGTCTGAGAAGCAAGGCACAGTTTTAGTGCAGACTGATCATCAGAAACTGTCACAAAGTCAAAGGGAACGAGGACCTGACAGCGCAGAGATCAGCAGACTTAGTGTCAGCTGTTACGTGAAGAGCAGGTGGATGTTACACTGCAGCCTAGATCTCAACGGAAAATTAGAAACTCAGTGACAATCAAATACACAGCTTACAGCTTTCTTATTAGCAAAAGGGACAGAAAGGAATTAACCTTGTGACTACATTGTCTGCTCTTAAAATATTCACATATTTGCACTGAGAGGTGAATACACTCAGAGTGAAATGCTAAGGAGAAAGGCAATGCACACGATGCTCCAAAGACTACAGGACTTAATAATTTCTTATTCCTAGATGGACAAAGACCTAGCCAAGGGCAACTGTTCTTCCTGGGCCCTCCAAGATAACTTCAGAGATGCATGGGCACTTCTGAGGACTGAATCAGCAAAGGTGGCAAGAAGGTGACAGACCAGCAAACGGAACATCCTGCAAATAAACTTGCCTAGGAGCGTAAGAAAAGGTGATGTCCACACGTTGTACCTAATAACTCTCCCATGCCACAGAAATGGAGACGCCTGAAGCAGCCCAAGCTCCCCTAGGACAAGGAACAGAGGTCGCGTTCCAACATTCCCCTATTAAACTCTTCTAATCTTCTGTACTTTGCAGATGAATATCCATGAGATAAAAAACAGAAAGAAAAAGAACCCTCCCCCCATTTTATCTCTGTTCAAGTTTTCACCGAGTTTCTCTCTCATTCTGATTTTATACACTGCTTTACAAGAAAGAACTATGCAGATCTGCAATGGAAGACTCCAGAAGGAGTTTTTGTATTTCATTTGCACCGGTTCACTACAAATTAGTGTTACTGCTAATTTCAGATTTTTTTTTTCATCTGTACACATGAAACTGAAAGATCTCACGGTCTAAAATCTGCTACTGTGAAAAAGGAATCAGTATTATAGGTATGAATATAGAAGACTATTTCCGCTGACACATCCACCACACTACAGTTTGTTACCTACACTGGCGTTGCAAAGATAAAGACTGCCATGTCTTTATCAGATGAAAAGCAAAGTCTCCTTCCTGTGAACTTGCCTGCACCTTCAACTAATTCAGCACATGGCAGCATGCCATATTGCACACTTTCATGGCAATTTTCTGCTAAAATCCCTTACTGTAGGCTGGCACAAGTGTAAAAATACCTGTTACTAGAGTAAGCCTTTCTGCAAAACTAACTTTTCAGAAGTTTATGCTGAAAGGTGTGAACCTACAGCACACCTTTTTGGGCCCCACCAGCTGGAATGCTCTTGCTGATATTTTGAAATCCACCACAAAACATCCAACAGGCAAAATGGATGTATAATCAAACCAGCAGCCATCAAACAGACATATAAACACCAAATACACGGAAAAGAAACACAGTAATGGGGCCGGAATGATTTAAAAAACTCTTAAGTTCAAATTATACCCCAAAATTTGTACCTTCTATGAATGGAAGAATCTATGATGGTCAATATTTATCTGGTGCTTCTCTTATTATTTAAAGTAGAAGGGCTCTAAGGGAAAAATAAGCTCTGTATTTTTGAACCGCCGCACAGACTTGCAGCAGTATTTTAGGAAAATATGCAACATCTATTATTAACCATTGTCAAGATAACGGCCTACAGCTCATTACTTGGGCTGCATAAAACCCCCTCTTTTTGGCATTTGAACAGAAAGCTATTGCTGAACAAGCAGACTTTGGGCTTCTCAACAGCAACTTATCAACGCACCATTACCCTGCACGCAAAGTCATGAGATGGGTGGTTAGCAAGCCAAGCTGCCATACACTGCACGCGTGCGTCCTGGAGTAAAAATAACAAATGAAGAATTAATTTGTAATACTTGATTTTCAAGCTCCTTTCTGCTTTGCTCAGCTGCTGCCACACATACCCCATAAAACACACTCAGAGGTCAAATGGGAGAATAAAATTTCCACACTGGCTCTGAATCTTCCAGTGACTGTATACCTTAGAACAGAACAAGAACCAACAAAGCCAAACCAGCTCAAATGAAGTAACTAACTGCCCAAAGAGGAAAGAAATTACCGCACCTTTTAATGAGAAATGTATTTCCATGGTGAAGCTCTCTCACAAATTTAGCGTAAGCTTGATCTTACAAGCATTCCCACTTATCAAAGGCAAGCAAGACGCTTCCAAAACAAGTATTTACATGTGAGCAGAGATTTGGGAGGTTTACAAGGGTTGGTAAACTTACTTTGGACTGAGTTCTTTTCTGATTTTTCTCACTAAATTTCTCCTTCATTTCCTCCAGGAGATGCTTCAGTTCCCGCTCCTCCGACGTTCCCAAGTATTTTTGGTTAATATGCAGGTAGCAGTGCCACTTGGCCGATTCGAATCCCCAGTGGCAGGTCCTCTTGTCAGGGGATCTGTGTGAATGCATCACAAACGTCTGGGGCGAGAACATCCCGTAGCACTCCAAACACTGGATACAGGGGTCATCCGGCGCAAGGTAGAACTGAGGTGCAAACAACCCCTGGCACTTGCCCAGGCATTCATGCTCTACTTCAAAGGCACTGCCAGTCTCTTTCAATTGGGCTAAGGTATTCTTACCAGGGAGAAAACTGCCATCCTGCGGAAAAGTGCGAGGACGTAGTAAAGCATTGCATAGTCTCTGAGCATCAGTCAGCGTAATTAGCCCACAGGACGGAGCATTAAATGGAAGAATTCCCAAAACCTTCAGAATATGAAGCTGGTCAGAAGTGCACCTTGAGCAGTATATATATAGTTCATCACACACCGTATTGATCTGTTGCAGTGAAAAGTCTCGGAGAACCGAATTCAACACTTGAGGCAGGCAGAGTCTTTTTTCTCCTCCAACTTTAAAACAAGAGATAGATTCCCCCTCCAGTAGAGTCTGTGTGAGTTCTGTGGAGCTGTCTGGAGGAATGAGCAGCGGACCAGAAAGTATTTGTGGCGACGGAAGAGGCAAGAAGACAGTGGGTGACATACTTTCCTGGGAATAACGAGCTGAAAAAGCTGCCGGTCCACCTAGTGAACTCTGGCTGCTTAAGTGGAACTGTGCCAACGTGTGTTTCAAACCTGGATTTAAATTCAAAGGCTCAGATAGTGAAGTACTGTTTGGCTTGGCATTTTCCCCATCAGCCTCCACAGGAGTTTCGTCATATTCGTCCAAGTTTTCCTTCTTTATTGTTGGCAATTTATTTATTACAACGCGTACTTTGCTATTTACATGCATTTCCGTCATTGCTTTTTTTAATGGAGGATTCCCATCCTCTTGGATCCCACTCCTTTTTTGGTCTGAAACTAGACCCAGAGGGAAGTTTATCTGTGGGCTTTCCATGGCTAAACACCAGAACTTTAATTAAGTAAGTCTTGAGTGTGCATTTTCCTGATTATTCATATAAAAAACAATTTCAAGTGATCTTGATTACCCCAGGCACACCAAGTTTTGCACTACTTTCAGTAAAATGTTACTTCTTCAGCCTCTAACAGTAAAAACTGTAACCCATTTTGCACATAATACCATGAAATTAATAAGAGAGGTTACAGAAGTTTGTTTTATAGTTCTTTGTTCGATTAACTCGTATTAAAAAAACCACTGCAATATGTATACAAAAGGTTTTTCTTCAAACTCTGTCCACTATTTTACACAGTAGTCTTGTACAGCAATTTAGTAAAAAACGACGAGACAGTAAAAACTGTAACCCATTTTGCACATAATACCATGAAATTAATAAGAGAGGTTACAGAAGTTTGTTTTATAGTTCTTTGTTCGATTAACTCGTATTAAAAAAACCACTGCAATATGTATACAAAAGGTTTTTCTTCAAACTCTGTCCACTATTTTACACAGTAGTCTTGTACAGCAATTTAGTAAAAAATGACGAGTTAATACAAGTGTGTCCATCCTTGATCTTTTTTTCTTTAAAAAATATACTGACTTTTCAAATAAGTCCCTATTGAAACATTGAAATAGAAAAATGGTCTCAGTTTGAAGAACGCTGATCTTAATGCAACCAATCCAAAACCATGGTTTAAGTTGTATGAAAATTTTATTCAGCACTTTCAGTTCTCGGAGATCAAACACAACCTTTAGGACTTGCTTTATTGTGCTGCCAACTTCATGATTTCACCACCACCATGAGAGTTACTATGGCAGTTCAAAAACAAATCCCTGAAATAAAGGCTGATCCAGATCACCGGCAAAAACCAAACGTCCCTAGAGAGTCACCTTTCGCACAGATGTCACTGGCGTGTGTCAGAATTCTCCCACCCCAAGTTACTAGTAACAGAGGCAAGAACCAAGCCATCGGGTGAATTCATGTCTTGTGCTAACAGAGTTCTGCCAGTCTTTCCGGATAACCTGCGGAAAGAGACAGAGGTCACTCACAAGCAACCCCAAAACACGAGTCGCACATGCCACAGCAGGGACACGTTTCCCCGTTCATTACGACAACCCCAGCGCGCA